GCTCTCCCTGGCACCCCCAGCTCGGGGGGGAGGGTTGTGGGTATGACCACCTGTGGCCCTGAGGGCAGCGTCCCAGCAGATTTTCTGCTGATCACTCCAGCAAGTGTGTCCTTTCACATCGGTTTTCTACCAAAGCAAAAAAACTCTTTCCCAGGACTCTGCCATGGTTCCTATGCTATGTACTGAGGGCCTGGGGGCCTGCCCTACCTGTGCCCACCCTGTCTGTGCCGGGCCAAGGGGTGTGGGGAAACGACGCAGACTTTGGGGACAGCTGGAGCCCCCTCTGAAGGAGGGGAAGGAGCTGGGTGGCCTGTGGGGCACCTTGGCTGGGCAGAGGGTTCCCCTGGAAGGAGGTGCCCCAAGTGGGGGCACAGCACAAAGGCCCAGAGATGAGCTCAGGAGGGCTGGAGGAGACGCTGGCAGGGAGCATCTGGTGAAGGGCTGGGGAGCTTCAGGCCTGGCCTGAGGGACCGGAGGGGGAGGTTGGAGATCTGGGCCTCAGTTTCCCTGCCGGTGCTCAGGCCATGCCTCTCCCAGTCACTGCCCTGGGGACACCGAGAGCAGCAGCTGGTCCCTGGCAGGGCCCGGGGGAGGGGGGAAACAGAACCCAGCACCTTAGCAGTCTGGGGAAATGGAGGCACATGCCCACCATGGAGGGCAGAGGTCCTGGCCCTGTCAGGGGGGTGCTCAGAGCAGCCGGGTGCGTTGTTGACAGCCGTCTGCGGCCAGATTCCGCCCCGTGCGGTAATTCTCCTCGCTCTGCCGGTAATCGCACTGACTTACCAGGCAGGCATCATTTCCTGAAAGTCAGCCCGGCCCTAGAGGAAGTCAGCGTGCGCGGCCGGTGACTAAACCGACATGCAAATGCCGCCTGGCTCTGCCCCGACGGACCCCATGCCAGGGCTGCCGCCGCGGTCATGAGCAACCCGCTCCCAGGCGGCTCTTCCAGGGGCACCCGTGCGGCAGCCCCCGCGAGCTGCCACCATGTCCCAGCTGCGGTTCTGGCTGCAGTTTGCAGCTCTCAACAAGGTAACACCCCGCTCCTGGGGGGCCAGGGGGCCGGGCTGGCCGGGGCTGGGAAGGCAAGACCCCCACCCCCACCCCCACAAGAGCGGCAGGACAGGGAGGACAGGTCGGGCCACCTGTGGGACCAGACAGGAGCTCCCCCTGTGCTCTCTCACTTTCTCACTCTCTTGGACCCCAGCCTACTCTGTCCTTTTTTGGCAGTGAGAGTGAATCTGCCGGAATTTTCTGAGGCAGAGATTTGAGGACTTGGGGTGTGTGGGCAGGACGGGAGTAGAGTGTGAGAGGGGGCTCAGACCCAGTCGTGCCGGGGAGGGGGCCTCAAAGTGAAAGTAGATATGGGGACGGGAAGGGCTGGGCTCCTCTCTGCCGCCTGCTGCGCATGACTTTCACCTGGAGAAGCTCCGGGAGCCAACCCTGGGGGTCTGGTGAGGTTCCTTGTGGGCCAGGGTGGGGCACGGTTTGAGGTGGGCTCTGACTGGACAGATAGGGCCGGGACCCCTGTTCCCAAGCCCTGGAAAGAACATGGCAGGGGGGCACAGCTCCAAACGTCCCTACTGCAGCCCAGGGTACTCAGAGCCAGGTTCTGCCAGCTCCCTGCCCCTGTCCAGGGCTCCCTGAATTGCTGTAGAGATAAGAACCATGGCAGGTAGCCCTGGCCCCCCACTGTCCCCCAGAACTGAATGTGGCTGGCTCTGCCCGCTCCCTTCTTTCTTGGGGGCTGGAGAGGTGGGTGCCTTGGGGGTCCTTGCTTCAGCCTGCAGAGGAGGCCCAGGGTTGCTGGGGAGGAGGTGCCTGGGGGAGGCACAGTGCAGGCAAAGGCTCAGGAGCTCGGGAGAGCTGGAATGGTGGTCTTGGAGGTCGGCTGGTGGCCCTGGAGTACAGTCCTGACACTGGCTGGGGCTTGGGCCTTCTGGGGACTGCTCTGCTCTCGCCCCCAAGTCGTCCACCCACATGGAGCAGGGCCAGATGGGCTGGAGCCTGGGGGCCTGGAGCCCACCGCCCTCTGCCCTGAGGATTGAGGGCTCTGCCTAGGCCACATGGCAGTCAGAGGATCCGTGGCCGCAAGCACCTGCTGGATGTCTTGGGGGTGGTGGGTCAGGCAGGTGAGGGGTGCGTCATGTGGGGCTTCATATGAATGCCCGCTTGTTTATGATAGACTACTTTTCAGAACAGTCTTAGATTCACAGAAAAGTTTCAAATGCAAGCACCTGCTGGATGTCTTGGGGGTGGTGGGTCAGGCAGGTGAGGGGTGCGTCATGTGGGGCTTCATATGAACGCCCGCTTGTTTATGATAGACTACTTTTCAGAACAGTCTTAGATTCACAGAAAAGTTTCAAAGATGGTGCAGAGAGCTCCCCCACACCCCATACCCAGCGGCCACGCCATTCACGCCTTATAGCAAGTCGTGCCTTTGGCACAGCTGATGAACAAGGGTGACTATGTGGTTATTAACTAAAGCCCATATTTTGTTCAGACCTTCTCAGTCTCCCCCTAGTATCCTTTCCTGGCCCAGTCCAGGATCCCGAGGAGCCCTGGGCTGGGTCATGAGGGGGCTGGGTGGGTGCTGTGTAGGATGCCCCACAGCTGGGCTGCCTAGCATCTTCCTCACCATGGAAAGGCAGGCATTGCTCCTCACCTCCGTCACTGTGACATGTCCCTGCCAACACTGGCCTTGGTCACCTGGCCAGACGTGCTGGCCGGGGGTCTCCACCCTTCCCACACTGTGCTCTTGGCGGGGGGTGGGGGGGGGGTCACCTGCGGGGCCCATGCTGGGGCTGGGTGCTCTGCCCTGGGCTGTGGCTGCTGCCTGCCCTTGTGGTGCTGGCAGTGCCTTGTGAGCACCCCCTGCCTGGCTCCCTGCCCTCGTTGTGCCAGCCGGACCCCAGCTCTGGGGGCAGAGCCTCCAGTGCTGGCTCTCAGGCCCAGCCCATGGTCAGGGACCTGGGGGACAAGAGCTGTTGTCTCTCCAACCCCGACCCCGTGCATGCCAGGTCTTCGTGGTGAGGTGAGGTCTCTGCTCTGTGTCTTCCTACCGCACTTTGTTCCTTGGCACAGCCCTCCCTGGCACCATCCCCCGATGTGGGCTGAGGCCATGGTGCAAGCCAGGGAGGCCCTGTCCACAGCCCCGGTCCCGCCTTTGACCTCAGCTGCCCATCCTTCAAGGCCCAGGGCAGGGGCTTGGGAAGCTGGCTCACGCACAGCCCTCCTGCTGGCAGCTGCCTGCCCTCTTGCCAGGGTCCAGGCCTCCTTGAGGAACTTTCCTGCCAGTGGCTGGAGTGGCTGCAGGTCTCAGTTCTCCCCCACTCCGTGAGGGTTCTGACTGGCTTTAGGGACAGGGTGGGCCAAGGCACGTGGCTGCACAGTGGTGCTGTCCTATTGTCCAGCACAGGGGCCCGGCCCCCCAGGGTGGGCAGGAGGCATCCAGTCAAGCCCCCGAGCCTCATGCCAGCTGAACCAGCCCCTCTGTGGCCTCCAAGGAGGGCCTGGCACACTTAGGATAACCTCATCCCTCGGAGAAATGAGAATGGGCCCAACCTGCCTTGTCCTGGGGCTTGTGCGGGGGCGGGGGCAATGGCGGTGGCTGTCCCCCACTGACTGCCCCCACCCCCTGGCTCACCCCAGGGAGCAGGAAGCCAATTCCAATGCAGTCGCTGGGAGGCAAGCTCAGAAACACAGCCTCGGTGCAGGTCTGGAGAGATCGGGAATCTCCTGCTCCCAAAGACCTCGGGGCTGCATGGACGCTGTCCCAGCTGAGGAGCTGGCCAGCTGTTCCCTCTCAGCCCACAGTGTCCTATGTCAGGCTTGTAGCAGCCAGTGCTCCCACAGCTGAGATGCGGGGTGAGTGCATGCATCCTGGGCAGCCATGACACCAGCCAGACCCAGGAGCAATTCCCGGAGAACCGTGGCCAACCTTCCCCAGTAACAGGGCGTGATTCTCTGTGCCTACAAGAGTGCAAGCCCTGCCTTGCACACCCAGGGGTCTGGGGCTCCTGGACAGCAGTTCAGCCTTGCTCCTGGTTGCAGCTTCAGATGGCCTGTGGGGGACTTGGCTGGGGGCTGCTAAGGGGGGTGAGCCGCCCCGGCCCTGCCAGAGTGGGGGCCACACCCTCCCAGCTCCAGGCCCTTGGGGACGAGGCTTTGGTCCCTTGTCTGTAAAACAGGCAGGCAGCGTGGGCCCCAGCCCGTGGCAGCTGAGGGGGTCTCTGGAGGCAGGCAGGTCCCACGTATCCTGGGGGTGGGTGGCAGGAGTGCAGATGGCAGAAAAGAAGAGTCTCGGTCCCCGTCAGGCTTGATAGAGAGATGCAGCAACACCCCCCCATCACTGCGCCTCATTTTTTAAAATTTAGATTTATAATGATAGAGAGTGAGAAAGAGCCTCCATACCAGACTCCACCTTTCAGGTGCAGGAAGGGTGGAGGTGAGCTGAGCTGAGCTGCTCAGCGTCTCTGGTTTCTCTGCTCCAGGGTGTCGCAGAAGAGGGACATCCAGCACGGAGCCTTGGGGTCTGGCATCTCACCTGTCCACTTGTCTCCTTTCTTTTTTTTAAACAACATAATCGAGATATAATCCACGTGTTGTACAATTCACTCATCAAAGTGTGCAGTTCAGTGGTTTTACTGTATTTAGTTGTGCATCCATCAGTTCTAGAACATTCTGTCACCCCAAAAGGAAACTCCATTCCCATGAGCAGTCATCCCATCCCCCTCCCCCAGCCCAGTAACCAGGAATCCACTTTCTGTCTCTGCGGATTGGTCTGTTCTGGACATTTCATGTAAATGGAGTCACACACTGTGTGGCCTTTTGTGTCTGGCGTCTGTCACTGAGCGTGACGTGTTCATGGTACCGTCCACGTGGCAGCATGTCAGAGCCTCGCTCCTGTTCATGGCTGAGGAATGTTCCAGTGTGTGCATGGGCTACACTGTTTAGTATCTGTCAGGCTGTGGACACCTGCCTCACCTGGGCCTGTCTTCCAGGACCCCTCGTACCTCGAGGACCTCTCCAACACCTCCATCTTCTCCTCATCCGTGGACTCCCTGTCGGACATTGCAGACACACCCGACTTCCTGTCGGCCGACAGCCTCAGCCAGGTGCCCACCATCTGGGATGTGAACACCCCCTCCTCTGCCCACGACAAGGTCAGTGCGCCCGGCCTCTCAGCTTCTCCAGCTCCGCGTGCTCATGGGGCAGGGAGGGTCACTCTGGGGAGGCAGTACTGGGGCCAAGAGCTAGAGGAGATGCCAGCCCAGTGGACTCCTGAGTCAGTGTGGCCATTGACTGGCCAGGTGGGAGCCAACAGGGTGAGGTGAGCAGAATCCTGTTCAGGGATGGGGAGGAATGGTTCAGACATTACCCTTAGTGCTCCTGGCTGGCTTTCTTAGGGGGCTGGGTTTGTCTCTGTGCACTCCCCCATGCAGGACATGGACGAGCAAGACCGGCCCTGGAGGGAGGGGTCATAGAGGGCAGAATCCCAAGTGCTCCAGGCACTAACTCCAGCCCAATCCCAGGACTGGGCAGTGGGGGCGTCCTCCCAGTGTCCACCTGCCCTCCCCAGTGGACCAGTGGATGCTGGTGGGTACGGGCCTGCTGGCAGCTCAGGCCCCATGCCCTCAGCAGGGGTCTGACCTGGATGGCAGAGCAGACAGGCCTGCGGTGTGTGGCCAACGGGGACAGAATGCCCAGAGCGCACAGCACCGACCTGCCGTGGGCGACTCAGCCTGTTCCTGTTAAGCACCGGGGCCCCCCCCTCCTGCAGAGCCCGCGGCCTCCTGGCCTGCCCACAAGTCCTCAGCTGGACACGAGGGAGGAGGCCTGGGGCCCGGTGGCCTGCAGCGGATGGCGTGAGGGCATCTGACACTCAGTGCCCCCCAGTTCCCCCAGCCCTGCGGGAACCATGACTCAGCCTTCCAGGAACCCACGCGCCTGTTTGTTTGTGTTTTTGTAAATTTAAAAAAAGGAGTGGGGGATTGAGTATAGGTTTCTAACCTTACTATACGTTGCGTCTGTTTTTGTTTTTAAAAAACTTCAGCCGTGTTCCTAATCCTTGGAAAAACAATTGTCCTGAGTGTCAAGTTAATCACCCCTTGACCGAATCCCAGGGAGATGTTGCAAAGGGTTCTCCATGCCCTGAAGCGCATGTGCTCTGGGCAGTCTCGGGAATGAACAACCCACACTGTCCAGGGATGTTGGGGGTCCAAGTGGGGGATGGGGTCTGGAAGTGGTCTTCCTCTTTCTGGTTTTTTCTGCTTTTATGATGGGCTGACATGACTGTTAGGATTTTTTTTTAATGAGTGAGTATGTTTTGTCTTTTTTTTTTTTTTTTTTAATGACCGGTAAGGGGATCTTAACCCTTGGCTTGGTGTTGTCAGCACCACGCTCAGCCAGTGAGCGAACCGGCCATCCCTATATGGGATCCGAACCCACGGCCTTGGTGTTATCAGCACCGCACTCTCCCGAGTGAGCCACGGGCCGGCCCGCAGTGAGTGTGTTTTGAAATCACACAGACCATGGTCTGGACCCTGCCCTCTCCTGGCTGTGTGTCCTGGCCCGGCACGGCTCGGTGTATGATCTGGATAGTGGGCGTGACCAGCCACACCACTCCCTGGGGGTGGGCAGAGTGAAGGCAGGGCCCTGACTTGGCCCCAGTGGGTTTGGGTCTCCTGTCCTGACCCATCTGCAGGCTCTGGACACCCAGTCAGTTCTGAAACCCCAGGGTGGGCCAGGTCCCCCCGATGGCCACAGACTCATCCCAGAGGCCCGGCCATGCCTGGTCCCTCTGGGAATGGCGGGAGTGCAGGGCCCTCGGGTGCAGAGAGTGAGGACGATGGGGTCCCCTGTGGTGGCTGGGCCTGTGGGCTCTCCAGCCTGTGGTCTGAGGTTCTGCTCTCCCTCAGCTGTTCCTGCCCAGCGGGTCATTCCCAGGCCTCGAGGACCCTCTGTCTTCCCTCTCTAGCACTCCGCTTCTTGGCAGCTACCAGGTGAGCCACCTGCCCAGGGGCTCCCTCTCTCCCTAGCCCCTCTCCTGGTTCCTGGGGAGGGTCACACACACAGGCACCCTCCTGGCTCGCCTAGATGCAGGGAGTACCCTGTTTTACAAAGGAGGAAACAAACGTCCTGGGGAGGCACTGTGCTGGGTGGAGTCTGGGTCACTGGCAGCCATGGTCAGCCAAGCCCCTATCCCCGTGGGAGGCTGGGCCATGTGGGACAGGACCTGCCCCTGCCCCTCACCCAGGACATTCAGGCACAGACTCAGCCTGAGGAGGAGGAGGAGGCAGAGGAGGAGGAGGCGGAGGAGCTGGGCCACACGGAGACCTATGCCGACTACGTGCCATCCAAGTGTGAGTGCCACCAGGACCCTCAGACACGGCCACCTCCTGCAGGACCTAGACCCCAGCGGGTGGCCACTGCTTGGCTAGCCCCTTCAAGGACGGTGGGAGGACCCTGGGGGCCAGTTCTAGAGTCCACACCTGTGCAAACCTGGAGGCTCACAGAGGCAATGCAACGAGAACGGAGCTTGGCTTCCCACCCTGCTCCTCCCCAGTGCCCAAAAACATCCCTGCTTCCGGACCTGACCCACCCAGGGATCCTGACCACGCCCCAGGCCCGCCCCGTGACCCTGACCACGCCCCAGGCTGCCCTGACCACGCCCCAAGCCCTCCCAGTGATCCTGGCCACGCCCCAGGCCCGCTCTCACAGTGCTTCCAACTACCCCCCGTGCTCCAGCCAAGATCGGGAAGCAACACCCGGACCGCGTGGTGGAGACCAGCACCCTGTCCAGCGTCCCACCGCCGGACATCACCTACACCCTCGCCCTGCCCGCCTCGGACAATGGGGCCCTGTCCGCCCTGCAGCTGGAGGCCATCACCTATGCCTGCCAGGTGACCAGAGCCCCCGCCCCGACCCACCCTCGCGGCACCCCTGAGGAGGGGGCACAGGGCCAGGCAGCCCCACCTGGCCCTGACTGCCACCCTCTGGCCGCAGCAACACGAGGTCCTGCTCCCCAGCGGGCAACGGGCAGGCTTCCTCATCGGTGATGGGGCCGGTGTGGGCAAGGGCCGCACCGTGGCCGGAATCATCCTGGAGAACCACGTGCGTGGCAGGAAGAAGGCTCTGTGGTGAGCGCCTGCTTGGACCCTGGCGGGGCGGGGGGACCAGGAGCGCCTGACCTGACACCCACCATCCCGGGCCCCAGGTTCAGCGTCTCCAATGACCTCAAGTACGACGCAGAGCGCGACCTGCGGGACATCGACGCCCCTGGCATCGCGGTGCACGCACTGAGCAAGGTGGGGGGGATGGGGTCACCCCTGGAGCAGAGGGCTCAGCCCACCTCCTTCACAAATGGGGAAACTGAGGCCAGGGGAGGGGCGGGGCCTGGCCTGCACTTGTCCCCACATTGCTCCCGTGTCCCCAGATCAAGTACGGAGACAGCACTACCTCAGAGGGTGTCCTCTTCGCCACCTACTCCGCCCTGATCGGGGAGAGCCAGGCAGGCGGGCAGCACCGCACACGCCTCCGGCAGATCCTCGAGTGGTGCGGTGAGGCCTTCGATGGTGTTGTATCCTGTTGAGGATGGATGGGAGGGGCAGGAGGCCACTGCCAACCACCCTGGGGGTGTCCCTGCCGAGTCCCTCGATTTCACTTGGTGCAGGAGTCCAGTTGGCGCCCATGGGGGTTCCAGGAGGCTGCGCAGTGTGTCATCCACCCCTCGTGGTTGGGCTCAGCCTCCTGGCTCTGGTGATCCTGCCCATGACGCCTGGGGGAGGCAGTGGTGGCCACTGTGCCCCCAGAGGTGGAAGGTGCTGACCTACCTAACGTGGGGCACAGAGTACTCCCCCCACTTCCCAGGACTCCATGATGTGGGCAGGTCCATGATGTGGGCAGGCCAAGGCCCGGAGGGGCCTCCACCCAACCCAGGAGGTAATGGGGCCAGTCAGCACCAACATCAGGGAGCCCCAATGGCCAGGCTCAGCACGGGCTCCAGCCCTGCTCTGCAGGAGGCTCCCCTACAGCATTGGGGTGTCAGGGACACAAGATCTCCCCACTGGCAGAAAGCTCCCGAACACAGGGCTTTTCCTACCTTCCCATCGCTGTTTCTTTTTTTCTTTTTTTGTCTTTTTTCCGTGTCTGGCAACGGATCGCAACCCTCAGTGTCGCCCCCGTGCCTCGCTCAGCCAGTGAGCGGGAACCGGTCTGTATGTGGGATCCGAACCCTCGGCGGGAGCGCCACCGCGCTTCCCAAGCGGCGCACTAGCGCAGTGCGCCACCGGGCCAGCCCCCACATTTTTTTTCAATAGGT